AAAATAACAACTCGCGCGACACGTCTGCTTCCGAGCTTCTAGTAATTTTTCAATAACTCAATTAAGAAACGAGGACGCCAAATTTTAGATCCGAGCAAGATTTAGGTAGCCCATGAATTTTTAAATAATTATTAACTATTGAGTCAATTCTGTCAAAATGTTTTGTATCTCTGTAAGTTATGTATGTACAGTAAGAGAAGAAGAGCGAAGAGAGCGGAAAAAAGAAAGAGCTTTCTTTTTTCCGCTCTCTTTGCTTATAGAGCGAAAATCTCGGAATAGAAACATATGACTGTACTGTACGATACCGTTTAATATCTTCCAGTACACACCGCGCTCGCGCGTTTCATTGATTAATACGACGACACACGGAATAATTTGTGCCGTTATCTGCTCGCTCGTGTTACGCGCCGCGGAAATGATAACACGGCGCGGCGCACAGTCGGTCTTGGATACGCAGCAGTACGGTGTACCATCAAAATAAACACCGAGGTGGTACACAGCCAATCTCGACGTTATGAAATATTTAACGTGTTATAAATCTACAAGGTGTCCCATCAACTTTGTCAAATCTCTCCGTTATTTCAAGTAACAAGAAAAAAACTTTTATGTCCAAACGTTCATGCGGTTTGGAGAGAGACACAATATGGTGGCAGTTCTTCACGAGTGAGCGCGTAGGATAGATCTGAAGATCGGCTTCATTTTTCTCTAAGCGGAATATTGTTTTTTTTTATGGTCAAATTCGACTAAGCGGCAAATTTTGAGAAAAATTTTAATGACAATTTGTGACTAATTGGTTATATACTTTTTATTAATACTCTAATTTATTAAGATTATGCAACTCATTACTGCATTTGTAATAAAATGAAAGAAGAAAGAGAATAATAAACAAGTGATTTCTATAAATACTTTCCCGATAAATATTTTTGCGATCAAAACAAAAATAACCATTATTCCTCAAATAAACGTTAACTGTAGCATTGATACATCCAATCCAATTTACAGAGATAAAATCCCAAGAGAATTATTATATAATTAATTACATCATTTGAAAATGTATTTTCTTCTTTACAATAAATCATTTATACAAGTAAATTTATTATTATCACTTTCAGATTTTTATCCCAGAAACTGTATGATTTGCGTAAATCGAGAAAGATCAAATCGCCACAAAAATATTACGGCATTATCCTATTTTTCATCTTAAACTTTTTACTATAAATACGGACCTATATTTTATAATTTTACGCTGATTATTCTATATAACTATTTCTGTTTTATCTAAATCAGTATAAATGATTATCAGAATAAAAAGGCATATTCATATTTTACATAGCTATAGGGTGATGCGCATAAAATCGGCTTCAAACGTAAAATACAACGACAAAAACCTATTCAGAGCCGGTTTTGTGCGTCACTCTGTATACTACTTTATTTATATTATAAATGCAGTTTTCTATGCATTTTCCTTTATATGACAAAATATACCGGAAACACAGAATTTCCACATAAAAGAACTGGCCCAGTGATAAACGCAAAATGCTGAAATTTTACATTTTTTAAATGTAAATTATTCCTCGGTTACTAATGCTTTTGCGAGTGGCCAGACGATGGGATTCCGCTTTATTAGCCAGCAGAAGTAATACCATCGACAAGTAAAATTTTACAATTTTCAGAGAGGAGAAGTGAATATTACAAATAAAAATGAGAGATATGATATTTTTAAAAAGGCAATCTTTTAGTAATGGCTAAAAAATGTGTATATAATTGACATATTAAAAAATATGGTAGGCAAATGATTGGTAATTTCTATTTCCTTCTATTATTCCTTTTATGCTATTCCTCTTTTCCTCCAATAGTGATTTTAGTGCTGAATTTCTACAAAATACCTTTACGTAAATTGAATGAGCATTCGTATGCCTCAAGATATTAAGGTGCAAGTCTTAAAAGTGACACTTGCTAGTTAGCCGCGGGAATTTCTAACGTCAAAGGAATGATCTTCATTAACATTCGCGTTGTGTAAGACAGCGCGTCGAGAAGACCGACTCTAGTTATGTCCAGCTTGCAAAGCTCGGGTGGAAAACTGCGGGAGTCTTTTGATCCGCTTAATTTGCATAAAGGCACGCCTCGAATGACGAAACGATCAATCAAGTCGCCGCGGGAAACGAGTTACCTACTATCACCGTTCTTTTCGAACGGCCGCCGCCGCCGCTTCGATCGGTCCGATAGTTTACACGCCTCACTACACCGCGAGCGGCGGAAACGTTGTTTCTCCCGTTCCGAAAGTTCGTTTCTCGCGTTAAGTCAAGCGCAATGCGAACATCAGACGATAACTTCGAAATGTTCGATCTTAATCAGTGAACGCTTCCTCTTTCGCCCCTTGCATTTTCCGGCAATGAAGAAACTTATTTACCTGTTATGCACTCTAAGTACTTCTTTTTGCAACCCAAAGAAGATGTTATAACAGATTAGATCATGTTGCTACTGTGAGACTAATGTGTTTTACTATATGTATATTTGTGCTGGAATTTTTTAAATATGTTTATTAGCTATTTTTAATTGATCTCATATAGATTGTGTCACTGTAGATCGTTTATTTATGTATAATTTTATGTAATACACATACATATTCTAAATTTTTTTAATGTCTCTGTTACATAATATATAAAATTATAAGTAAAGTCTATCCTGAATTTGCTGATATAATTTACAAAGCACCTGAAATGAGCATCAGCTTAGTAAAAAAAAAAAAAACTAAGCTGATGCTCAGTTTAGGTGCTTTGTAATTTATATCAGAAAATCCAAGATAGGCTTTACTTATAATTTTATATTATATAAAATTGTAAACTGATTTTGAAATCTGACATGAATTGTATCGTCCTTCTAAAGTAAATTTTATTCCATGTGATTGACAGCAAATTGCAAGAAGCTAACAGTGTCAGTTCTTTCTTTTTCTCTACTGATTTATTGATATAAATTGTTTATCTGATAAAAAATAGAATGGCAAGGGAATGCATTTATATGCAAACCTACAGCTGCAGTGCAGTTAATTCTAGGCATATCGAGAATACGTGTAGGTGTAATCGAAAAGAGAATTACATTGGCTCGAATATAATGTACTAGTTCTACTGGTAGAGGAAGAAATATATGGTCCGGCTATAATTTACTTATTCTACTGTGAGAGTCGAATCTACAGTTTGCCCGCGATGTACTTGTTCTACTGCAAAGAGAGAATATATGGTCTGAATACAACTTAGTTATTCAACTCCGGATAGAGGAATTTATTGAATATTAATATTTCGATTGCATTGGCGTTTTCCTATATTATACTTAATAACATGTTGCTCATTTGCTGCAACGACATAGCTCCAAAATCATTATTGTTTAGTCGTTTGCAAAAGAAGAGTGAGAATTCAACGCACTGAATGAAAAGCTACTTATTAGCTACAAGCTAATATTATAGCTAGATATTTTTGTTCCCCTAATCAGCTTTTACAAAATCGAATTTAATATAAAATTTTAATGACTTAAAACATTCATATTCATTTTCTAGGTAAACTTTTTTATGTCACATCATTCTGCAGTAAACGAGCGGGCACGAACTATATATTATGAAGTTGTCTAATCAACATTTTACATTATTCTGGTACTTTACATTAATATTCAGCCTCGTTGTTTTATTGATAATTATCAAGTTATACTCGTATGAAGTTAATTAATATTAAATTTTAATTTGATACCACTTGCAATAATAATTAACGAAACTTTAAATATATTATTATCTTAACAGGAATAATTATAATATACACAAATTGTAATATAGTAATTTCTCGCTGTGTTGAAACAAATATCGCAGCAGGATCGGCCGAGGGCCGGCATTTGAATAAAAATCGAACTTGTGGCGCAGTAAAGGAAATATCGATCGAAAATATTTCCTCGCGCTAACACAACGTGTCAGTATACGATAAATTCTGCACGTCTTCCCCGATATCACCCGTTGTAATTGCGCGTACGATTGCGCCAGCCGAACGACGCTTTGTTACACGATAGCGTCGAGGATTCCCGGCGCTATCAAGAACTGGAATTCCATTTCCAGGCCCCACGGGCGCAACTTTTTCTATTCTTCTGGCCCGGCCTGATTTATCGTCACCCTTACGCTCACGTGTTCCACGTGCTCGGGGTCTTTCTACGGGTACACCCTGCGGTACACTCACGTGATTGATACGAGGTTGTAGATCGTGGGGGTAAAGGGACGTTCCATAAGCCTCGCGTGCGGCCGGAATTCCCGATTTTCCGCTCTTTTCCCCACCAGTCGATGTATCCTTCGAAAGTGGCCGACGATACCAGCATGTTAACCATTCGCACGTATCTCGGCTGCAAATTGCAACACATACGTATCCTTCGAGATTATTTCGTGATACTTTTTCGAAAATGTATTTATTGAGATATTGCTTTTCCAACAGTAGATCATAAAAATTCCATTTTTAAGTAATATTTTTTATTAACATGCTGATATACTGAGCAACTATTGTATAAATATTAAAAACGTTATTAACAATAATGTATTATATTGTAGAATTCTGTTTTTTGTCTCACAGAAATATGTGAAATTGTTTTATAAATTCAAGGTACAATTAAATTCTGTTAAAGAAAAATCTTTTCGTATGTTTACCACCTATGTAAAACCTCAATAACTTTAAATCATTTTACATTCAGGTTAAATAAATACCAGTTGATGAAAATGGGAATATTTATTGCGTGCCAACCGTAGAGTCAAAAAAGTTACATTTCTAAGAATTGAGGGGGTGGCAAATACTTTTGGCCAAATTAATGCAAATACCGGTTCTTTTACCTGATTGTATCATGATCAGAAATTTTTGTAAGTCGTCTAGTACTGTAATACAGATATAACTGATAACATAATTCAAAGGCAAGTCAGCGGCTGTCAACGAAACAAATTCCGTTGAATCAGTAAAAAGACTTTACGTAATATTATGTTCCAGAAGCTGAAGTGAGATCGCCACGTTTCACTGGTTCAGGCTGGCTGGCTTTTCCCGCATTAAGGGCCGCTTACAAACATGTTCAATTAGAACTGGAATTTCGACCAGAAGCATGGGACGGGGTGCTTCTCCTAGCGGGAGAACGGGACGATCTTCAGGGTGACTTCATGGCCTTGATATTGCACCATGGTTTTATCGAATTCAGGTATTTATATTTTATTTAAACATCAATTTAAATTAAATGATGATTAAAATTAGTGTATTAGAATACGATTTGATTTTCTATCTCAATATTACAAAACTTCGCGCAAAGCTAATTAAACGAATAAGAAAAGAACATTCGGTATATAAAATTTATGACGAGATGCATTAGCAAAATAATATCATGAAAGAAACGTGGATGGCAAACTCTCTAATAGGATTAAATTCGCAGAGGAGAAGTAACATCGGAATATTAATTTAGAAATTAAGAGATCGCCGTAAATGTCGTCAAAGCGTGATGAAGATTCAACGAGACCGTAAACTTCTTAAATAGTATCAAGAACGAGGATTCATCGATTTTTTTTGTCGACCCCGCAAGGAGAAGCTGTATTGAATATAAAGTTATACGAGACACTTTATAGGACACTTCGGCGCCATAATTTCGGAGACTTTGCCCCGGAGTTTGACGTGGTCATTAATTAAGCATTCCGTGCCGGGACTAATTTTTCGTTTACAGCTTAATAAGCCGTGACTTAATGGAGTCCATGTACGATTTATGAGCGCCGTGCAAAAACTAAAAGTTTACCTTTTGCAATATAGTCTGATCCCGTACCACCTCTTTTACGGCGTTTTGCGCCACCCCGCGTCGAGCATCGACGGGAAACTTTTTCGCCGTGAAAACGATGCCGTAGGATTTATTTTACAACGCACTACGTAAAGTTTCGCCTACAAGTACATACATCGCCAAGTATTATATCACCACATGACACCTATAACATTACGACGATACACTTTCCCGACTATTGTGATGTATGAAATAGCGTACTCAAACATTAAGATACATCATCCGTATAATATTTGTAATCCGTACTTTTATTGGAAAACTCTGCCAGACTATTTTTCAAATCGTCACAAAGTCATTTGTTATCTCAGACGTTAACGAATCCACAAGGCAACGTTGCAAAATATGCAATAACAGTTCAGGATTAATTTGAAGTGCAAGAAATAGTTGTCGTACATTTAACATATAAGTAAAATGTTGAATGTTTTGGGCTTGACAATTGTTTTGGCAGTAGACAGCGCGAACGCAAGGCCGCCATGTAAAGCTAGCGCCACACTATGCGCAATTCATGATTCACAAAATCAAACACCAAGGCTGCGCCGCAAGTCAGTCTCGAGTCTTCCGTGAGATACTTAACGTATTGTGAAATAACTTTAAACATTTTTCCGTTTTATCGTCGCGTTACTTAAATGACGACAAATGTAAGAAAGTGCTAAAAGTTATCATATCTCACGGTTGTAACAATAAGCAATTACTAACTCGCGCTAAAAAATAAGGAATAAAAACAGCGATAATTACTTATCCAAGCAAATGTTTCGCAATTTATTGGCTTCGAGCCGCGAATAAGCAAAACGAACGAATTCTCCAACGGCGAAAAGCTTTCATAAATCACGAACGATGTACAAACGCCGAATTTATCTCACGAGTGTGTGTTACAGTATTAAAACACAAGCTTTATTATGACTGTACTTATTAATGAAATACATCGTTGGGAGTAGGAATCGGAACGATAGAGAGGAGAATAGGATTTATAAACTATTGTTTCGTGATATATATGAGCGATAATTATCTCCTCAGCGACGCTTGGATTCGAATATTATATCGCTCTTTGAACTTTTCGTTTAAATGTAATTTGCGTAATATCACGATATTGAGAACGTGAAATGTTATATGAATCGCCGGATCGAGTTGTTCAAATAACGAGAAGCCGTGGCTTCTATCGGATGTATAGAAACATTAAAAGGACACGGTATTTTAAGTTTATTTCATAATACGTTAAATATCTCAAAGAAAGTCGACTCGAGACTGACTTGCGGCGCGGTCTTGGCGTTGGTTTTTGTATTTTTCATATCTCCACAAGTCCGCCGTGCGCGTGTCACTCGCACACGAGACCTCCAGTCGGCAGGTAGCAGGAGCAAATTACTCCGTACGTCGTCGGCAGTCTCTATCGAAGCGCGATTATTTTTTACGAACAATTAACAACCCGTGCGGTTAATTAACTTTCACGATTAACTAAATTTTGATTCTACATTTTCGCACGACTGCATCGCAATTAGACGCTAATTCGACTTTGTTAATTATTTGGTATTGTAATACCAATATTATTTTTTAATTTCTCAATCATAAAACGGAACGTCGCGCGCGCGCGCGCACGAAGCGGACAGACCTTAAATTGAACAATGTTTAACGCTAATGAGTGTCGTGATCAAATCTATATTTAAATATTCGTTACCTATGGCACGTAGCATAAATTCGATATTTGCACATTGTTCGCGAGTCGATAAAAATCTTTACCGTTTGAGATTTATTCATCGTGCTTGTTTGCGAGATTTGCGGGTGTCGAGGGGATTATAAAGCTTTGTACCTTTTTCGCGTTCTCCTTTCGTTACGACGTGCAACAGTAAAGTGTACGTCGTGTGAGATTAACGTCGGGAGTACCGTGTAAAGTGCTGTGAGATAATCTTATTCTGGTGATTAGTACGTGTAGTCGTAATTAATCGTATTTTCGCGAATGTGTGAGTGCAATAAATGAATCTGACAATGAGAAGAAGAGGAGGATGTGTGGGAAGTGGCGGGCGACAGTGAAGCATAGGGGTGTAAATATAATAATATCCCATAGAGACATATTATCTCAGAATAAATGTGTTCTACACTCAGAAAAAGGATTTATTTAGGTTAAACAAATGAGATACGTTGAAATCATCTTTCTTTGAATCTACCAAATTTTTATTTCCCTCAACTAAAACATTTGCTAGATTTAAAGAAATAGATATAAACTTTCTGACAAATTTCAATCTTATCTGGGACGGTCAAAATTCAGAGTCAAAAAGGTCAAAAAAGAAAATTTGATTTTAAACAAACTTTTTTTCTAGGTGTAGGATAGAGTGATATAAATATAACACCATATAGTGCATTGATAATTTTATCTGTTAAAAATTGTTGCAAATCATAACGCATTCAATTTCTATGTCTATTGTCCAGTTAAAATACGGAAAAAGAGAAAGAAAGGAATAAATTCCCAATAAATGTAAAATATTGACATTTTTTTAAATAAACACAATAAATAAGCAAATTTTAAATAAATAAAATTTTTATAATTAAATATTATTTATTTAAAATTCCTTTATGGTTTTTGCATATCATAGATCATTATCCATAAAAATGGTCCGAAATTTGAAACCAAAAATTAAAACAAAATGTTTATGTTCGTTCTCTATATATTTAAATGAAATAAATATAAACCATATCATCTATAGAAGTACGGGAAAACTAATAATTTCGTTGTATTACTTTATTTTTCTTTCTCATAATATTTTAATAGAATTTACGGTTTCTATTTAGCCTTTAGAGCTGTTTCCTAAACACATAACTAAAAGAACAGAACATACTTCAGTGGTAGATATTTCAACTACTTTATTTAATCAAATATTGTAACTCTTTTATTTAATGAAAAAGATGCTATTGATTGTTACTTATTTATTCCTATAATAAATACGTCAATTTTATTTCTTTAATAAATATTCTAAAGATTATCAAATTTAAAAAGTTTCCATATCACAATTACTGTATAATGTCATATGAATAGATATTTAGATATATAAATAAATTACCTATTTGTAATTATAAAAAGATATGATAAATAAGAAAGTGGCAGGTTTCATAAGTAGCGGTTTGCCAAACAAAATTAATATTCATTCTCGAGGATAAATTTCTCTAATAACGTCTATTCGGGTTTTGCACTGGGGTTGCACAAAGGGATTGAAATCATAGATCAGGTCCTGAATTCATAGACGCATTCATCAAACGTGCCGCGTAATTTATTCATTGACTGTCCATTGTTTCCTGGATTTCGTTTGCACAATTCATTAATCGGACGTTAAATGCTTAGCCTTATATAGATTTATTGTTCTATTAACTAAGCGGAGAGTATTATTACACGCGCTTACATATTAGTGGATTACTTTCGCAATGAAGGCGAATAGATTATCGCCACTGATGGTTTCCACGTTGATTGCGGTAAACAACCCCAACAATATTCCAACACAACCGCAAATGTTATTGAATGATAATCACATTCTTTCTCGTCATTAATGAAAGCTTTACCGATTGCGATAACAAGAGATAGTTATCTAGTATTTATTACGTCTAGTAAACCGCTAAAATAATAAGGTACACTCGATAGCTAATTTTTGTACACTTGTGACTTTCGTTCATACATTGAGTTTAGACGAAAGAAAAGAGGTAACGCTGATAATTCGCGACAGAGCAAATTTATTTTCAGTATTTCCGAAATAAATTAGTTTTAATCATCGATTCAAGATTATAAAAGTTTATACTATATTTATATGAATTTCTACAAAACTTATCATTTCGTTGCGAGACGAAATAAATTCTTTATGCTTAAGCCGGATTACGCAAAACGAATGAATATACAAACCAGTGAACGATTTACCTCACTGAACGCGAATACCGGCGGCGTCATTCGTACTCATTAAAATTTATCTGTGCTTATTTGCACCCTGGGTTCAGTCCCGACTTTACACATCAAAAGAACATTATTATAGATTCCGTACCGACAACCGTCCGCGCGCGATATTCCACGACGTGTCTAACATTCCCGATCGATTAACATCACCCTCGTACCTTTCTGCGATAAGGTTCGATTGCGGCAGCGGTGTGGGCACCGTGAGGAGCACGGAAACGGTGAAGCTGAATGAGTGGAACACCCTGAGTGTCTACAGACATCGATGGGACGCCTGGATCCAGCTGAATCAGGAGAAGAGGGTGGAGGGACGATCGAAGGTAAGGGCACTTCATTTTATTTCCATCAAGGCCAGACGCCGGATATTATTTACCCGCGTACACCGCGGATTCAAGGAGGGAATCGATATTCCGCAGCGCGAGGCGGGGCCGTATTATCGGGATTACCCAGTGAGTTTATTCGAATTCTCGAGATTCTTATGGTGACGTCCACACGCTCGCTCGGTCGCCTCCCTCGGGACCTCCCCGTTCGTGTTTTATATAAAAGCGTAAAAATGAAAAAACGAAACTCAATTCATTGCAATAATAGTAATTCACCGTCGCGCGTGGCGACAAATAAGCGTAAACATTAGTTAGAAATATTAAGTGTTAAAATCTTCTCTCTTTCTCGTTGCTTGAATAAATATCTAGTAAAAATAATGATAAAAAATATGTCGAGTAACGATAGTAGAAGATAAATTTACAGTTCGCGTAAAAATATACAAAAAATATACAGATGCAAACGGCATTATATGTCAGCGATATTTATTATTTTTACTCAAACACCCATCAATGTTTGTGGTCAGCTGAGATAAAATTATTTCCATTCGACGAAATCCACTCGTGAAAAGTTTAATGGCACCAAGGTGGAACTAACATTAAACGCTGTTGTATCTCACGGAAACTTCCCGGAAACTTTAATGAGAGAATGTAGTCCGGAAATTGAAGAAACGTTCTTACATTTCGAAACTTCTTTCTAGGGTATTCCATGTGGGCTGCGCAAAATTTTTTTACCTTCTTTTTTTTTATTTTGCGCGCCAAGTGGAAACTTCGTTGCGAGTTATATCGATACGTGCTAAAACACATTATACAATGTTGCCGCAACAAAACTTCGGCTTTCTTGAAAATTCTCATTTTGCTATAGAAGCCGCAAAAACTTGGCATGAGGAGTTCCCTGTATTTTCGCTGTCCTAGATGTCACGAGAAATAAGATACGAGCAGCAGACTTTGAGAAGATCGCAATTCTCACCGCAACAAAAATAATAAATTTTATATTATTTTGCATAAGAAGTTACAGAGAACGCAAAATATTCTCTAAATAATATTTCGAGTTAAAAAAAATTTCTAATTTAAAATTCAATCTTTCTCGATATTGTATGTTGTTTAAAAAAAAAAAGAGGCAGACTGAGAAACCTGACCCAAGAATTCGATACGTAAATAACTGCAGAGGATAGTTATGGGAAAATAGTATATGTAAAGTTTTAGAAAAATGCGGCAACACGAAGGAGGCTAAAGAGTATGAATAGTCGGATATATCGAGATAGATGGCGGAGGTTAAAAGCAAAGAACCACACCCTAGAACAAGGGGCCGCACCTTCTCGATCAATCTAATCAGAAAAAGTGCCACTGCCCATAAAACATGTCTGAATAAGGTACTTCCGGCCAAGTAATTGTCTATCGATTTCGCTCTTTCCCGTATTAATCCGCCGATTACCCTCGTTCCGGAGTTCATTAAAAGCGTAAGTCGAAAATCGCGTAATAAAAGGAACTTCGTCAAAATGCATTTGAATGGCTATTGCAGAAATGTATTGTTACACAGTCATCGTGTCAGTTTACATAACTGTCGATGAATAATCGAATAACGGTCGGCGGAAAGTGGGGAAAAAAAAGTTTTGGCAAAAGTGCTTCGGTAGTTCTGTATCTGTAGATACGTTAAAAATCGACCAACAAACAAAACCGTTTCGTTCGGTGTAAATTTGTATTATTTTACTTATCCCGACAATGTACAAAATCTACGTATTATAATTCATTAATCCGAAGATTACATCAGCACTGTTAACATCCATAATATTTTAAATACGTGCATGTACCAAATTAAAAGAGCGCGTATCATTTTTCATTGTAATTCACGCAATTGTATGAGTTATGTGCAGTTACATGGATACACATGTTGGCAGGATTAATAAATGATATCGTCTCGCCCATTAAACAGGAATAATTATTTTATAATTATGGGGAGAAAGAGAGATGGAGGGAAGCAATGATTATTATAACAATTACTATTGATTCAATTATTTCATATTATCATACTCAATTCACAGACCGCAAGATTTCAATATTCAATTATACATACATACGATAGAGCATTTTAACGGAGTTAAAAAATTGTATAGATATGTCGAAGACGTATTCACATTTTTACAGCACACACCGCTATTGGTGTATGCACTGAGAGAAAAAAATAGTT